AAGAGTCTCACAGACTTTCCTGCTTATGCTGGCTTTGAACCTCAGTCTTCAGATCTCAGCCTCCTGAGTAGCTAGGATTACAGGCATGAGCCACTGGCGCCCTGTTTATTTTTTGTTGCTGTTGTTGGTTGTGGGGCTTAAACTCAGGGCCTGGGTGCCATCCCTGAGCCTCTTTGTGCTCAAGACTAGCATTCTACCAATTGAGCCACAGTGTCACTTCTAGTTTTTCAGTGATTAATTGGAGATAAGGGTCTCACGAAGACTTTTCTGCCTGGGCCAGCATTGAATGGCAATCCTCAGATCTCAGCCTCCTGAGAAACTAGGATTACAGGCGTGAGACACCAGTGCCTGATTGGTATTGTTTTTTATAGAATTTGATTCATTGCCAGTTTTGTGTTCCTGACAGCAACACCACCATGGCTGATACATACGTAGGACTAGAATTGTTGAGCTACAAAATATACATGTGTTCAGCTTGACTAAATTCATCTTCCACGATTTGTTTTTGCCAGTCTTAGTTATCTACCTATGGTCAACTGTGGTCTAAAAATATTCAACAGATTGGCTCACACCCGTAATCCTAGCTACTCAGGAGGCTGAGACCTGAAGATCATAGTACAAAGCCAGCCTGGGCATAAAAGTCTAATAGACTCTGACCTCCAATAAACTACTCACAACAAGCTAGAAGTGGTGCTGTTCAAGTGGTAGAGCACTAGCTTTAAGCAAAAGAAGCTCAGGGACAGCATCTTGGTCCTGACAAGCCCCAGGACTGGTGCATACGTGCACAAAATTCAACAGAAAATCTCCAAACTAAACACATTTTAAATTGTGTACCATTATGGGTTCAATGATGGAATCTTGCCCCATCTTGCTTCCCGCAGCCCAGGGTGAGGACCTTCCCTTTGCCCAGAGTATCCATGCTCTAAAAAAAAATGCTACCTGACTGCTGGTCATTTAGCAGGCATCTAGCTATCAGATCTCCTCATTTTACCTCTCCTTATTTACCTCATAATTTTTCTGAAGCACAAGAATAGTGATCCTGGCAATTTGGATATCCCAAAAAGAAGATATAGCTGTGTGCTCACACTTATACTTCTAGCTACTCGGGGCTGGGAAGGTGGCTCAGTGGTAGAACGCTTGCCTTGCATGCTTGAGGCCCTGGGTTTGATTCCTCAGCACCACATAAACAGAAAAAAAAAAGTTGGAAGTGGCACTGTGGCTCAAGTGGTAGAGTGCTAGCCTTGAGCTGAAGAGCTGAGGGACAGCACCTAGGCCCAGAGTTCAGGACCCACGACCAGACCCAAAAATAGATAAATAAATAAATAATTCTAGCTACTCAGGAGACTAAGGTCTGAGGATCACGGTTCCAATCTGCAGGCAGGAAAGTCCATGAGATTTTATCCTCATTGGAGATAAGAAAAAGCTGGAAGTTGTGCTGTGGCTCAAGTGATACTATCAAGTGATAGAGGGAGGACTAACCTTGAGCAAAAGAAGTTTAGGGATACTTCCCAGGCCCAGAGTTCAAGCCCCAGGACAACAAGAAAAAAAGACGCCTTTAAAAAAGAAGGGAACAGAGCCAAATGCCAGTGGCTCATGCCTGATCCTAATTACTCAGGAGGCTGAGAGCTGAGGATTGTGGTTCAAAGGCCATGAGACTCTTATCTCCAGTAAACCACCAGAAAAATTGGAAATGGTGCTGTGGCTCAAGTGGTGGAGCACTAGCCTTGAGCTGAAGAGCTGAGGGACAGTGCCCAGGCCCTGAGTTCAAGCCCCATGACCAACAAAAATAAAATTTAAAAAAAGAGAAGGTAACAGTACCCTGAGAGGTATATTGCTATAATGGTCTATTTTATTATTAGTTATTAATCTCTCACTGGGTCTAACTATTTTCTTTTTGTATGCCAGTATTGGAGCTGGAATTCAGGGCCTCTATTCTCGCTTGGCTTGCTACCTCATGGCTGGCTGTCTACCAGTAGAGCATTTTGTTAGTTAATTAGAGATGGAGTCTCACAGAGTTTTATGCGTGGGCTGGCTTCGAACCTCAATATTACAGCTTTTGTCCTCCCGAGTAACTAGGTTATGGGCGTGAGCCACAGGTGCCTGGAGTGCCTAATTTATAAATTAAATTAAACTTTATCTCTGTCTAGAGTAGCTCAGTAATATAACAGTTGGCCAACATACACAAGCTCCTAATGTTTACAGTACTGCCACTGTACAGAATGCCTTCTACAGGATGCATTCATACATGTGGATGCACATGCACATGTACACACACACACACACACACACACACACACACACACACCTTTAAGAAACAGGGTCGTTACATAGCCCAAGCTTCCTTACTTCCTTATCCTTGGGGATCCTCCAGCCTCAGCCTCTCAAATGCTGGGAGTGTGTGTGTGTGTGTGTGTGTGTGCATGCTACCATGCTTTTTTTTTTCTATCTGTTTTTTGTTGTTGTTGTTGTTGTTGTTGCCAGGGCTTGAACTCAAGGCACTGTCCCTGACAAGGCTAGTGTTTTGCCACTTGAGCCACAGTGCCACTTCTGTTTTTTTCTGTTTATGTGGTACTGAGGAATGGAACTCAGGGCTTCATGTATGCTAGGCAAGCACTCTACTACTAAGCCACATTCCCAACCCTTATACTGGAATATTTTAACTTGAGCCATGCCCCAGCCCTTTTTTGCATTTTAGTTATTTTTTAGATGGGATCTTGTGCTGGTCCTTCTAACTCCTGAGTAGTTGGGATTACAGGAGTGAGGCACTGCACCTGCCTAATCTGTTTTAAAAAGAAACCAAGCTGGGTGCTGGCAGCTCACGCCTGTAATCCTAGCTACTCAGGTGGCTGAAATCTGAGGATCATGGTTCAAAGCCATTTCGGGCAGGAAAGTCTGTGAAACTCTTATCTCCAATAAACCACTAGAAAACCGGAAGTGACACTATAGCTCAAGTAGTAGAGCGCTGCCCTTGAGCTGAAGAGTTGAGGGACAGTGCCCAGGCCCAGAGTTCAAGCCCCACCACCGACAAAAAATAAAATAAAATAAAAATAAAAAAATAAATAAAAAAAACCCAGTTGTATTGGAGTAGGCCTCCCCTTAAGACCTCATTTTCCCTTACTTCTTTTTTTTGGTTCCTGTTGTGGGGCCTGAACTCTGGGCCTGGGCGCTGTCCCTCAGCTCTTCAGCTCAAGGCTAGCGCTCTACCACTTGAGCCACAGCACCCACTTCCGGCTTTTTTCTTTTTGCTTATGTGGTGCTGAGGAATCGAACCCAGGGCCTCAGGCATGCAAGGCAAGTGCTCTACCACTGAGCCACCTTCCCAGCCCTCCCTTACTTCTTTATAGGGTCTGTCTTCAAGTATAATCACATGCTATGTTGCAGCAGCTAAGACTTAAATGTCTAACATTGAGGGAATACAATTCATTCTGTAACAGTGGGTCAAAATCATGCCAGTGGCACATGTCTATATATAGTCTTAGCTACTGGTGAGGCTGAGCTCTAAGGATCAAGGTTCGAAGCCAGCTCAGAAAAACAAATCAGGACTCATACATAACAAACCATCAAAAAGCCTAAAGTAGAGATGTTGCTCAAGTGGTAGAGTACAGTACTGGAACACACACACACACACACACACACACTTGTAACTTAAGGGAGTTCAATTAGAATTTCTTTTTTTTCTTTGTCTGAGACTGGGACTCAAACTCAATATTTGACACTTGCTTTCACCTATTGGCTGCTGCTCTATGACCAGAGCCACACCTCCAACCTTTCTTGTTTTGTGTGTGCCAGTCCTATGATTTGAACTCAGAGCCTGAGCACTATTCCTGAGCTTTTTTGCTCAAGGCTAGGGCTCTACCATTTGAGCCATAGCTCCATTTCCAGCTTTGTGGTGTTTAATCAGAGGTAAGTTTCATGGATTCATCTGACCTTGCTGGCTTCACA